GTAGGACCTGGAACACTATAGGTATCCTATGCGTATCACGCCTAGTCTTCCTTTTGTCGTCAGCTGTACCTTCACCACCTTCTGATCCACTCATCGTCTAGGCAGACTCTATCTGCACCAGTGTTCTTCTGGAACCTGCCGCAGCATGCGTTTGACCGGTTCTAAAAATAAATAAAAATAAAAATAATATCCAGCAAGTCACCTAGGCTACCGTTCAAGCGGTATCAACAACATTGGCACAGAATGCACACATAATCTAAATCTACTTTGATTGGTTCTCTTACAACGGCTTAAAAAAGAACCGACTATGGTAGAACATTAAAGTCTTAATCTAGGCTGCCTGTGAGGTGTTGGCAGTTTGTCAACCAACTAATCAAAATAAAAATAAATTACGTGAGCACAATGGAAATGGTTGTGATGTACAATTGAGTGTCAATTGGAATCTTCCTCCCCTGTATCCAACGTGCGTGTAGTCGTCATCGAGCAGCAGTGTCTAAGGTGTGCATTAACGGCCCACCCCTGTGCCCAAAGCGTATGCTTATGACCACAACTGCCCATTATTTATCCTCGTGTGCAACGAGCCTTATGTCTGACTGATCTAGCTGATCAAGAGGCAGTTTAAGGACAGCCCCCACGGTCCTCAGGAATTATTCAACGTCGCAATCAGGACGACGATCACAGCCAGTGGACAGTTCAGACCTCCACCATAAATATTTATAGACGGTCTGGATAGCGTCTGCATAGGACTGGTCAGTCCGCACACCCCTTCTATTAGCGCATCAAAGAGCCTTCAAAGGGCAAAGCATCATGGCCTGCGTGTACTACTCCCATGGGTTGGTGTGGTGACCGCGACCCATGCTTCGACCAGGGCCCTTCAGAGGCACCGCCCTCTTCTGCCAGATGCGCCACCAGGAAGAATGTCGTCTCTCAAGGTAGAGCGCTCACGACTCCTCACACAAAAGAGAGGACACTCAAGGTGGACACACTTCCTCACAGTAAGAAAAGATTGAGAGGGTAGATAAGGTTAGGGAACACCGTACCCGGAGATAGCTGCCCCCAACCACAGATTTCTCACCAATTGAGCCAATGTGCATTTCGATGACCGGTCGTAGCTTCGGTAACGCCCTCCACACAGTGCAGTGCCACCTCAGCCAAAATGCCATATCAGCATGCTCTCATCATCATACATACACCCGCTGTCGCCACAGCCTTCCAGCGGCGAACCCCTCTACCCGGGTCCCGCTTAACAAGCCAGCGCCAAAGTATCCTCACTGCACAGAAGCATCGTCAGCGCACCAAATAGCAATGTCGCCGACGCGAGGTAAGGCAATCTCGAACCAGCTCCGATACCAAATTGCAAGGAATATGAGTGAGAATGATGTACAGAAAGCCAAGTTGCAAAATCACACAGATGTCCAAGTAGTCGTGTGCAAGCAGAGAGCACAAATGCACCGAGATTCCATCCAAATGCACCGAGATTCCATCCAAATAAGAGTGATACAATGAACTCATGAGCCATTGTTCAAGCCCTCAGGCCACACCAGCACAGTATCCAATGTTGCTCCTCTCTGTCTGGCGCCCAGCGCCCAGCATTCAGGCAACAGGCTGACTTCGACTTTGAAGACCAATCTACAAGACGTCAACACCATAGCCGACCTCCCTCATGCACCAGGTACGTATCTTGTCTCCCCTCATCAGACCCTGACCACCACACTCGCCTCCTTCCTGAAGACCACCGATCGCCCCTTACCCCTAGCACCCTGCAGCCCGGCTATGGGTGCTTGCGCTCCACTGCCCAGCAGCACCCCTCTCACCTCACACGCACCCTGGCCGCTGACACAGCATGCAGCCTCTCGCGCAACAACGCAGCAGCATGACCGCATTGCCTGCGTGCGCCAGAAAATGCCTGCCCCTGGTTGCCTCCTTCCCCTTATGGAAGCGGCAGCCTCTGTTTGGCTTTGAGTGGCCTGGCCGGGAAGCTTCCAGTATCTTCCGGTCAAGCCCCAGTGCCTGCGCCCAGGCCCAGCTGTGCAGTTGAGGGCCTGGGCCCTTTACAGTTGGGCACGGCCACTCTTTCCAGACTTGGGCCGTTTGCTGCATTTGCACAGGACCCAGGGTATGCATGTCAACAATGCTGCTTTTTCGTAGGTCCATAGCCAATTCGTGATGTATCTGCCTTCCATTGTGTGTGTGTGTGCCCAGGCGTACTACCACGGCCTGGGCTCAACTGTACGGCGCAGCACAGGGAGGCTCACGCTTCCTCTCAACCAACTGGCCTGCTGCAAGTGCCTGAGTGCGCACATATGGAAAATGTTAAATTTTGGCCTCTGGTGAATATTCAGGCCCACCTTCACTTAGGGCGGGCACGGGGCTTGCTGATGGCCTCCGCCCAGAACATGTGCATGTCTTATAAGGACCATGCGAGGGGTCATTCCTCGCACTATCCTCTGTCTCTTTTATCTTTATGGATAGTACCGTCCGGGTCCGTATGTTCCCTTGTCCGAATCGGTGTGCAGATTAGCGGACGTCTGGATTAATCCAGACACGGGTCGGGCCTGATTGCCCAGTGTCTGGATGTCCGGGTCCGGGGCAACCATGGTTTGAGCCCTAGGCACATTTTGGAATGGCCCTTGGGCGCAGCAACTGGGACTACAGGCGTGCAGCCAGGCCAGGCCCTCACGGCAAGACACTTTCCATAAAGGAAAAGTGCCTGCCCCCAGTCCAGACATTCTGGCTGCACACTGCTGCGTGAGCACTGCTTCAGCACACATTGGAAGCAGGGTCCTGGCCAGGGCTATCGAGCGCATGGGCGCAGGGGATACAGCACAGCTGAGGGCAGCGTTGCACAGTGGCCATAGCCAAGCCGCTTGTGCTGGGTGCCGGTGTAGATGGTGGTGGTCCTTGGGCAATGGTGTAGAGCCTGTGGAGGGACAGTTAAGGGATGAGTGAGGGAGAGAGAAGGGATGTACCTGGTGTGTCTTGGAGGTCTGCATGGGCAACGGCTTCATGTACATCGGTCTGCACCTGGAGTTCTCCTGGTTGCATCTGTAGGTTGTAGGCTAGTATAGGTGCTGTGAGTTTGTTCTCGGCGCTGAGTGCGATATAGAAGAGCTACATTGGATATATTGTTGATAGAGTTGAGATAAGGGCTGACATGTACAATTGAGTTCATTGCTTTGCTCTTATTTGGCGTGAAACTTGATGCATTCTGCTTTCTGTTCAGCACACAACTCTCTGGCTTTCAATGTGATGGTGCAATTTGGTTTTCTGGTATCTGCTCTCGCTTATTTTCCTTGCAAATACTACAAACCATAGTTGCGGCGTACGTCGGTGCGCCAGTTTGCGCACGGTTTGCGTACGTCGCGCCGCGCACCGCACAGCGCACCGAAGCGCAGCGCACTTGAAAAATTAGGTCCCAAAAAAAAAAGAAAAAGAAGGGGTTTTCTAATTTCTTAGGGCCCCCAACTCAGCAAAATGTTAAACTCACCGCGCAAGTTCACAAACCAGCCACGCCCACGGCCCGAACTTTTCTTTTGGGTAAGGGCTGCTGAAAATTCGATTCGCGCAGGCCCTTCCCCAAAAAGTTTCGAATGGCTAGGCACAAAATAGGGTTCATTCCAACTTTTGTTTTAGGCGGGGTATAAGAGCTGTCCTTCCCGCTGCCTTCTGCATATCCCACACAGTAGTGGGGTCAGTTCGCAAGAAGGGGTAGTCGCCTAATAACGACCTGCCCCGCGAAGCTTCGCAGAAGTCGCAAATTGAATGTTCTATCGCCAGCCGACCACCAATATATGCTGAAGATTGGCATTCAGGTCCGCATGTCGGCAGTTATGGGTTAGGATGAAGATGCCTGTGGCTCTCTCGTTTTTTTGTTTTTGTTTTCTTACGAGTACGTCCAGTGGGGCCTGCTCCACTACTCACCAAATGCACAAAAGACAGCATATGGTGGTGTATGGTTCCATGTTTCAGCAGAAGATTCATTCTGCTCTCTCGTTTTTTTGTTTTTGTTTTCTTACGAATACGTCCAGTGGG